GAGCATTCCCATGAGTTAACACTATTAAGAAAGGATCAGCATTATCTACTCGAGCTTTCTTCATGATTTTTTTTTTTTTGGCCATCTGCACTGAACAATCTACTAACCCATTTGATTGCGGATGGTACAGACTGCTTGTTATATGTTTCAATCGGCATTTCTTGGAAAAATTTTCAAATTCTTTACTTGCTAAATGAGGTCTATTATCAGAGATATCACTAGCTAATGTATGCCATACTTCACAAAATGAGATTTTACATAAGTGACCATTTTCAGACTTTGAATATCTGGTGATTTGGAGATTTCACAAAAGTTGGAATAATTATCTATAATTAACAAGACTTTGTCTTAAATAGATTTGTTCCAACTTTATACTAGGGTAAATTAGGAATATCATGTGGTATCATAGGTTCCTTTAAATTTTTGTTCCATATTCATTAAATATAGGACATTTTGAAATTTTAACTTCGAACTGCTTGTTCATAAATGGCCAAAACAAAACATCTCGCTCTTTTCTTACATTTTTCTAAATGAAAGTGACCCTCATGAATTAAATTTGACATTTTTTTTTTTTTGCATAGCTACAGGGATAATAAAACCTTCCTCCATTGGAAAATAAGTCATTTTCTATTGTCCGCTCATCTTTACAGTAGCAAAATTGACAAGAGGTTCTAGTTGAGGTTTCCTTTCTGGCCAATCTCCCACAATATATTTCTTTAAATATTATAGTGCAGCATCAGATTAACTTACTTCATTTCATCAGAGATGCTAAAATCAGTTTACACATTTCTGTATTTTCATCATTATCTTCTGCTGTATTCAAATATATTCATTCTACTACTTAAAGTGCCTGCTATTAGTAAGTAATGGTTGATTGGCTCATGATCAGTTTCAACTGTAATATGTTTGTGATATATATATTGATGAAATTTAGAACATGCAAATATAATAGCTGAAATTTCTTTTTTTTTTCTATCTGAATATAGTTTTCTGACTCTTCATTTGTGCTATGGAAACACAAGCAATTGGTTGATTTTCTTGTAATGAAAACAGCACCTAACCTTCAGAACTTGCATATACTGAGTGTTACATACTTATTAACACCAGAAATCATAATTATTTTTTTCATATTGGCAGTTAAGTACAACTTTTCCATAGTATCCATTTTATTCCTAGAGAATGCAACTAATCTTTTAATTTCAGACCTCCGTAACTGAACATCCAGCATTTCAACTTTGCTTTCAGAAATAACACTACACATTGCTCCAGTATCTAGCTGCAAATTAAATTTATTTTTATTTATATTAATGTCAATAGTATATTTCTCTTCTTTGTTATCTGAACTAAGGTTTGATATACTTACAACAATAAAATTCTAACTCTTCCCAGAGTCATGAATCAGTAATTGAAGTTTCTCTTTTTTTATTTGTATAATAGCTTCATTTTTTATTTTACAGCTTTTAAACTGCTTTTCAAAGTGATTTGCCTTTTACAATTGACAAATCTTTCCATATGCAACAAACTTTTAATACTAACGAGATGTTCTACATTTAAAACAAACTTTGGTCACTTATTTCTCAATATTTACATCTTTTTATATATCCTTATTATGTTTACTTAATTCCTTTTGCACTATGTTTACCAACAGTATTCCTTATCTTTTATTATTTCCATCTCATGTGCACTTATTTTTGCAAATGTACACACATCAAGAGATTTATCTCATGTTAATTCTGTTTTATGCAATAATCTTGCCTTCACTGCATTGTCTTTAATACCACAAACAATTTTTCCTTTATCAGACTATCTCCTAATTGTGCACAGTCACATACTCTAGCTTTATTTTGCAGGTCAGTTACATACTCATCTATGATTTTAGACATGGTTTTTTAATATACAATGTCTTTCATATGTAATATTTACTATTAAATTATGTAAATTTTTTTTTAAGGTATACAACACCACATACATTTTTTTCTTAATTTCATTTAATTTCTTTAACAAAGTATTAACTCTCACCTTATCTTCTTTGTTATGTTATACACTGGCTACTTCATAGATTTCAAATGACTGTAGCCATCTTTGACAGTCTGAAGAAATATTTGCATCAAATTTCATTGGCTCTTGTAATTTTAAACTTTCCATTTTGAAACACTCTTGACAGCACATAAAATAAAGAAGGTGCACTTAACTGTTTAAGCTATTTTATTTATAAACACAGAATATTATATATTACGAAGAATATCTATGCTTATATAGCTCTGTTTTTACATGCATATAAACTGCTGCATTTTTCAAGTTACTAAATACTCAATGTTAAATGTTGTGATTTACACTAAATGCTACAGCAAACCAATTAGCTACACACAAAAAGAAATTACTATAAAAAATTAATACTTTCCTTGGTTTTTCATCCCATACATTTACAGTTTACTTTTCATGAGTTTAAGAATACATTTGAAGGATTAGACCTCAGATGAAAGACAATGGATTCAGATTGGTTCATTTAATCCATATTCACTAGTTGTACACAAGGAGTTATTTCAGGTGCAATTACCTAATATTTTAATTATTTATAAAAATAAAAAAACTCTATTCTGCATTTTGGTACATGCAGATAAAATCTGTACACATGAGACCTATCTGATCTCGCTGCCCTTCATTTCAGTTCTGAAGTTTCAAGTTTAATATTTGAGGTCCCAGTGGAGGCATTTACTGTATTTTAAAACGATCAAGGAAGGAGGACGTATAAAGAAAGACCATTTCTTTTTTACTCATTAATACTTTACATTACCTTTTTTACGGATATGATGTCTACTGCTCTGGATGAAGAATTCTTATTTAATACCTCTTTTTTTACCTTTGCTCTCATTACAACACTTAGTATGTTTTTAATTTTGTTTACTTCTGCTAATCACAGGGTTGCCACTCAAACAGGAGAACGAAATTCCCTCCCTTTCTCAGGTTTTCCAGGAGTGTTTTTAAGAAAATTCCAGTCTATCCATGTAGTGTGCATTTGTTGTGCTAAAGGTAAATTAATTGTGGTGCCACTTGATAACACAAAAATTTGCTAACTGCATATGACTTATATACATATATATAAAGTATATTACCAAAACATTACTATTATGACTACAATAGGAGTTATTTTCCATTTTCCCCAATAACTTTCATTTACAAAAGAAATTAAATAAGTACAATGCATTCCATCTAAACCAAAACCAGAAATGAAATTCATTGATTTTTCAATGCAATGTATGAACTTTTAAACATAAGATTTTCTCCACCATTAATTGTAATAAAATTATGTCATGAATGATATTAAAAAGTATTATACATAAATTCTGGAATGGAAGTTATTGTTCACAAAATGGCAGTGCGGGGCCCATTTATATCTATCCTATTAAATAATATATAATTGGCAAACAATCACCTCAGTGATATTTCAACACTTGCTAAATTCTGAAAGGTTAAAAAAGCATTTTTTATGCAAAACTGTTAATATAAGCATACATAACATATGTTAAATGAAAAATATTTATTAGAATTAAAAATATGACATTTAATATATTTAAACAAAACACTAATAGAAAAAATACTAATGAAAAATAAGCACCAAATTAGATTTCTTGTTTTAACTTTGCAATTTGCAAGTCAATTGAAGAAACATCTCTGCTCAATTTTTGTTTTTTTGACTCCAAAATTTTAATCTGTGCCTGTGTTTTCCTTTTGTCTAATAATATTTTTTTTATGTTTATTATCACACAGTTTTTTGTCTTCGAGTGCTCGGTGATATGCACCACGAGCAGATCTGGCATATCATAACATATAAGGAGTTACATTAATATTAATCACACCTCCATTTACTTTTATAGCATCATAAACAGTTTGCACTGCTGTTAAAGAATTTTCCTGCAGATTTTCCACCAACATATCATTATTAACTGAAAATCCACTTTCTACTGTGGAATTGCCATGTGATAAAATTAGAACTAGTTTTACAACACTCCAAAGTTCTTTAAAATCTGAGTTATTAATCAAATCCTTATAAAAGTGATCAAGTCACATTGAAGCATAATTAGTAAAAGCGTCTTTCCAAACACCCTTACTTCTGAATAATAATTCTTTAAACTGCATTTTTGATTTATCTGAAACTGTGGAATTTATCCATTCACTTTCATATATTATATGCAATAACCTCTCCATCCTTTTCTCACATAAAAATTCATTAGACGTAATAATGAGCTTAGGATCTAATGAAGAAATGTATTTAACTAAGCTATATTTCAATGGGCTTCTTTCAAATATTTTTTATACCAGCTTAACCAAAAATGTTCTGCACCGAGTTCTGAATTCTCTTTTGTTAAGATCAGATACTCCACTTTTAGCTAAACTCGCACCAGCAGCAATACCCACATCTATATCTGCAACATTACAATAAATGTTTTCATCCAGAATATCTATATTTATCAGTTTTTCAGGAGCTTTTGCCTCTCGCAGTATATCTCTTTTGACAAATTTGGAGAGAAGATGACTTAGCATACTATGGAAAGTTGTATATAGAAAGGGGCACAAAGGATCAGCTGTCTGAAATGACTTTAGAAATGGATGTAAATTAACTCCTGCAACCGAAATAAAAAATGAGATTTTTGCCAAAAGTAGCTTATCTTTAACAGCTTCTCTCAGTCTTTTGAATGACACAGTTTTTGGTAGTTCGGATGATTCTACATATTTTTTGACATGATGAAAAATATCAATAGCTCTCTCAGCAACAGGTATGTTTTCACACCATTTTACTTCACAAAACTTCAACGGAAAAGTTGTACAGTTAGTGATGGCAATATAGTCTGCTTGCCAAGCAAGACTGTCTTTACATACTCTATGCATATTTTTAAATAATGCCACTTAAAGTCAGTACCTTTATGGCCAGCTCTAAAGGCACCATGAACAACATGCAAACCACAGGACCCATGGCAGGCATCATTATTTGCTAAATTTTCTTTCAAATCTCTGAGGAATTTAAGATTGACATTTGGTCCATCCAATGATACTTGCAGCAATTTCTTTTTATCTAGCTCTGAGGTTCCCTCAAAGAAACTTCTCAGAAGGTCATTGGCAGATACATGTCCCCAAAAAATTGATGTGAGGTATCTTCATTCCTCGCACTGTCCCAAAATCTAACAAAAAGATCCATTTTGCCTCTCTGGACAATTCTATTTAATGCTTCATTGAAGCAAATTACAAATTCAGTGTTCTAAGATCAGAAATGAGCATCTTTTTGAAGTATGGAGCTAAACCAAATGACACTAAATATGACATTTTTGTATGTCCCAGGGTCATAGCTTTAGCTTTATTGCTGTCATCAAACACTTTCTGGAACAGAACAGCAGCAGCATTAAATGCATTATAAGAAACATCTGAAGAAACAAATTTCATAGCCCACAGTAATTCCGCAGCAAAAACTTTGTCCTCAGGTGTGAACGCGTTTAAATTTGATGATTCAGCAACTAGTGCCGAAGACTGCTGTGTTTCAGAACTGCTTTTATCTATGGAGAAATAGTTTTTTAAGTTTTCAGAGTTCATCTTCACAAAAATGATTTTCTTATGTTTTACACTGTTTATGTGGCTTGTAACTGCTTTCCTTCCCATGGTACTAAGCATGATATTTTGTTGGCAAAACGTGCATCTTGCCATGTTAGGAGCTAATTCGATAGGTTGCAACCATGGATTCCACTGAGGATTGAGACTAGAATCTGCCCAACCTGGATTAAAAAATGTCTTTTTTCAGATATTTTGCAGCTAAAAAAAGAAAGAAATCTATTTAATATTTTTAAATAAATTCAAGTATTTTATACTTATTTAGCAACACACATAAGTTAAAAATATGTGCACTAGATTTCGTATCGTAATGGTATGTTATCATACTGCCAGAATTAGTTTCACGAGTATGCCACAGAAAATTGCCTGAAATTTGAAAGTATTAACTAATAAGAAATAAATTTAGAAGGATGAAGCAACATTAAATGATATGAATAACATTTAAATAAATTAATTGAAGATTAAAAAGTGAATTACAATAATTAACGGTATTTTGCCAAATATAGTTATATTGAATGGTTAGTCAAGATAACTTGTTATTATTTTGTTTAATTTACTCCAAAATAACAAGGCATTTATAAAAAAAAAAAAAAAAAATGTTTAAAAGATTTTGTTTTGTATGAGCTTGGAGGAAGGGCACAGCAAAATTGGAAATTTCAAGCAAAAGCAGGATTGATTACTGATTTTTACAACATGAAGTGTATAAAAAAAGAGGGGACAAACATTTTAATATTTACTGTTTGTTTCTGAATTCGGCAACAAGTTTTATCGTCGTTTATTTCTCAAAAATAAATTTTAAATGCGAATTATTTAAAAATCGAAACAACGGAAAACCGAATTCAGAACACACACAATGGGGGGAGAAGAATATTTTGCCAATTACAAAACAAAGTCAATTTTTTTAATGAAATTATAAAGTATCAGATTTTTTTGCGTCATTTCAAAGTCCAATAATCATAATACATGCCACCAACGATGTTGAAAAGCTAAACAGTTCAATTTGATTTGTTTAATACTGCACAAAATATGATTCAAAAAGCAACAATAAACTTCTTTTAACTTTAAAAATGCACTGCATGAATTCTTATCATTTTAAAAAGCAAATACGATAGAGTGTTACGTAAACATACATTAAAAAAAATTAATAAGATGTAAAAGATTACAAAATTTAACTTACCAGACTTTTTAACTGAAAACAGAAAAACGTGCTCTCTTAACCACGAGGCATAACTTCATCTCTTTCTTCCGTTCCACATGTGCATACGATTCTTTGTGCGAGCCCCTGAATTCAAGAGGTTACTGGAAACAAAGAGATACTGGAAACTTTCTTTGCCTTTCTGAAAGACAATCTGGTTAGCGCCGCAAAAATTGGCTCTATGCCAGCTGCCCGAATGACAAGCACGCAATACATAATTCCCCAAGAACGTGATCACTGTCAACATTGGTGCGAAAAATCGATTGCCGTTATGAAATTCCCTAATTTTTTTCAAATTTTGACTAAAATTGTTAAATTCCCTGATTTTTCCCTGATTTTTTTGGTCAATTTTCGATTTCCCTGACTTTTTTCGGTTTTCCAGGTAGCGTGGCAACCTTGTGTAACCGTAACGCTTTCATTAAAAATGCTAAACATTTTCAATAATTTACACGAATCAGGCATATTTGCGCGTGTATTGCCATCTAACCTTACAGAGTCCTTTTTTTCTAATAGTAAATATTTACCAAATATAAATCGAATGAAATTAAAATTAACGGAGATATTATTAGTTATACCTAAAAGCGCCACGAACAGTCATAATGACTGCTAGTAATACTGGGTAGATTTATATGGTATTCTCGCTCAGAAAATATTTTTCTTGGAAAAACATCTGGCGTACATATACATTCCTTTCATTCACTGATTATTTACAGAAGGAATTACATTATTTTACAGAAGAATTACATTATTTCCGAGAAACAATGTCTCGCAATCGTTTTTCGAGACATTATGAAATATCTAAGATTTGACTTGAAGTCAACTAGGACTCAGCGTTTAGAAAGTGATAAGTTTGCCACTTTTTTCCGATATTTGGAATAAATTTTATACAGAACTGTGTGATTTCCTATAAACCAGAGAAAAAAATCTAGTTGTGGATGAGCAGTTATTTCCATCCAAAGCCAGGTGTAAGTTTATACAGTATATGCCGAATAAACCGGATAAATTCGGTATCAAATTTTGGATGTTAGTCGATGTAGACTCGAAGTATATGTGCAATGCTTTTCCATATCTTGAAAAAAATACATCGAGAAGTGAAACTGAAAGTCTTCCTGAAAATGTAGTAATGCGTCTTCTAAGCCATTATCTGAATTCAGGTCGAAATTTGACAACGGACAATTATTTTCCTCACTATCATTAGCTAGAAAGACTTAAAATGAAAAACACAAGTTTTGTCGGGCACAGTAAGAAGACATCGACAAAGAAATTCCGCATGAAGTAAGGAAATCAAAAACCCGGCTATTTTGAAACAGTTTTGCTAAAGAATGGTGAAACTACGCTCACTGGTCTATCAGGGAAAAAGGAATAAAAATGTCTTACTACTAAGTACCTTACATCCAAGTGTAAATATTGCTGAGATTCACAAAATAAGAAAAAGCTTCCAGAAAAACAGTAGAGTTCTACAACAAAACCAAATGTGGAAGTTGATATCGTTTGACAAGATGACACGTAAATATTCTGTTCGCGGCTGCTTCACGTAGATGGCCTGTGCATGTTTTCTATAATATGCTGGATTTAGTAGGGACGAATGCCTACATTATCTACCATAAATTGAGTGATAAAAATATTACAAGGCACGACTTCCTATTTCAATTAGCAGAGGAATTAAGAGAGCTTTATTTAAACAGAAGAAAAACCGCAAAATTGCCCCAGGAAATTTCCAAATCTAGCAATACACTCTTGAAGAAAAGACATCAATGCCACATCAATGCCAGATTGGACTTTGTAGCAACAACAAAACAAGTGATGTGTATAAAAAATGTTCATATTATGTGTGTGGAAAATGCACTTCCAATATTGAAAAAGTTGTGTTTTGTAAAAATTGCGAAAAGCTGTAAAATGTGTTTTATTAAGCATAGGCTGAAATTTATAATAAAATATCCTCTTTTTATTAAAATAATCTGTTATTCTTTAAAGTTCTTCAACAACTGTAATTAATATTCTTAAAAGCATTATAAACCATTTGTATTTGAATATATACATTAATTCGTTGAGCAGTCAATTTGACTGCTGTTGGCGCTTCTAGTTAGGGAGAAAGCTTGGCGCTTCTAGTGTTAATTGTAATCAATTTTATCACATTTAAAATTCATATATATATAAATGAATAATTAAAAAATATGTCTTGTAATAATTGCACATTTTTATTAGAAGTTTTCATTTAATTGCTCAAGCATGTATATCACTAAATCTACTAATACAGTACAAAATCCATAATCGGAATACAAAAAAAAAAATCCATAAATCACATATCTTTATTGTGGATTTGATTTCCGCAAGGAAATTAAAAAAAAAAAAAAAAAAAAAAAAAAAAAAAAAAAAAAAAAAAAGATAACCAAGAATAATACATATAACTAATAAAATACTTATAATTGATTTATAAATTACAAATGCAAAGATTTATATGTAGTATGCTTAGCTAGTTCTGATTTTGAGAATGTTTTCTGGTGACACATTTGCCTGCATATTTATTTTTTCAAGCAAAACTGCTTCAGCCTACATTTGGTCAAAATTAAGTCTGATTTTTTTTAATACAAAAAATTCTTTCACAAACTCTGAATGAGGTATTATTAAGACAGCAAGCATTACAATAAGCAATAATTTTGTATTTAATACATCCATCCATATCTTTTTAATTTGGCAATTTCTCCTCATATCAATACACAAATTTGCATTCCTTTCAAATCATGTATTTGATACATAGAAAACTCAATTTCCACTTGATTAAGATATTTTTCATGAAGAATGGACGGGAAAGTATTCATCAAGAAAAGAACAGATGAAAATGAAACTTCAGTTCCCAAGTTGATGTCAGCAACTTCAGCATGTTTTAGAAAGGGATTACTAGTGGAAATTTATCAAACTTTTCACGAAATAAAAATATATATCTATTAACAACAATTTGATTTCTGAGCCAATTAATTTTTCAGTAGCTTTTTTTGCAGCTATATGCAAGACCACCTCGGATGGTTATATTTGGTTGACACATTTTGATAAATGATGCTACATCTTTAAATTTTCAATTCATATTACTAGCATTATCTGAAGAAAATGATAAGCAATTTTCCATTCTAAACCTCTGCTGATAAAGTTTTCATTTATACAATTAAAAATACCTTCCCCAGTATTATTCGTGCATTCTCAGATAGAAATCAATGAAGTAATTATCACTGCCTCTTCTTTGTTATATAATATGTTATAATCAAACAGCACAGCTTGTTATTATCATTACTTCCATCAGTACTGACAGAAAATGATATCTTGCACATTGATTTTTAAATATCGGCAACAGTACTTTCTGCAAGTGTTTTCACAATAGCAGCAGTTTTGGTATGGCTGCAGCTAAATTTTTTTACTGTGTCCAGAAACATCGAAATCAAACAAAACAGTATTTGGCTTTTATAGCATCTTTTATGAAGAAATTCGTTATTTCTTTAGATTTTACAGTGCCAAGTTCTTTATGCTTTTGAGAAAAAAACATGGCGTTGAGTCATCTTTTTTGCCATGCACAACTGAGGAGTCTGTTGCACACACTGCAATGTGCGTGATTCACAGAAATTTCGGATGCTTTAATGCATGGAAATTCTGAAGATTATGAATATTTAAATTTCTGCTTTGATAATTTTAGCTTCTTCATGCCAGGCAACATAACTAACAAAAAACTTCCTGTTTAATCCTAGGTGAATAGACAACGCTATGCTCTCACTGTAACCTAAACAATGGAGCCAAGGCAGGCTAAACAGCAACGAACCTGGGAGTATGGGGAACAATTGAAAAGTGATTTGCAGGGTGGAGTTACTGCTCTATGATTGGCTATTCTTCAAAACCAGCAATGTACTCAAGTGATATATGATAACACGAGCACTAAGCCAATCATCAGAAGAATCGGTTTCTTTTTTTGTACTGGTTCTCCTAGCCTGGTCCTGTAAAATCCATAGTTTTCCCCCCATACTTTCCATAGCTCGTAGTTTTTCACGAATTTCTGTAGAAACTACGGAGAATCCACAGTAGTTGGAGTCCATGTGTATATATGTGTGTGTATATGACATAAAAGAAAGTAACTAAGAAAGGACCGAAAAACTTAAAAATTCATTTCACACCAGTTAGAAAGTAATAATATCCAAGATATGCCAACAAATTTGATATAATAATTCAGATTAGCTCTATAGAAAATAACCCAGCTAAACAGAAATAGCATACTTACAGTGTAAGAAATTATTGCATAAATTTATATTACATTGAGAAGAAAAACCTGTTAAGTTTATTGCTTGTTTATGAGATCATACCCCTTACTATTACTCACACTAAACACATGCATGCATGCTGCATATATTAACTTAATTGGTCTCACTGTCATATAATAGTTATGTTTATACAAATTCAAAATAAGAAATGAAAAGCTATAATTCTTCATTACTTACTCAAAGGTTTGAAAGTATCTATATAATTCCTATTTATATTACAAGTGGAAATGCTGCCATTTTCCTTGTTTTTTGCTATCGTGTCTCTACTTACAGCAGCTGAATATGAAGATGGATATTTTGAAAAACAAGTGTCAAGGGACAATGATGAATGATTATTTTCCGAAGCAGATTTTAACCACAAACAGTTATGAAACCCTTGATGAAGAGCAAAACTTTGCGTTCTTTCAACAATATCATTCAAGGAATCATCTGTAATAATTAAAATGCATTAATTGAAAAAATGATGATACAGCTGTACATGTACACACACACAAAGAAAAAAAAAGTGTATCAAAGAAGAATACATAGAAAACTCAATTTCCACTAAATATAAATATAAACTAATTAAAACTAAAGTCACTTACTACAGTTTTACACATGTGAAATTATGTTACATATTTATGCAGGAGTTGCTTTCTCTAAATTCAAACAGCAATTTTCAATATTTCATAGGAATTTTACAATTATGTTTTATTAACATTAAAAGACAACTGAAATTATTTAATTTCTTCATATAATTTTTGCTAGGTGGTTAAATTTATACTGATTAGAATTTATAGAATTGCCAAATGTCACACCATTTCTTGAAAAGTTTATGATGTATTCTGAATATTGTTCAGGTGAAGGAAGTGCATATTGCAACAAATCTCTGAGCCTTCAAAACGTATGAATTTTCATGAAAATAAATTGTAGAGACATTAGGTATTTTTTGAAAACAGGAGAGATGAAAAATGAGCAATGCCCTCCCCGGGACTTGAACAATGGACCTCTCAATATGTGTCGAGCATGCTGACCACAACACCACAAAGGCATGCTAAGAAGGTGGGAGAAATACCTTATATCTTCTCTCTTTTAAAAGGCAACTGGGGATTAGGGAATCCAATCACCAAATCCTGGTGGTGGAGAATCATCATCCACCAACTTTTTTAGTTCAGGTGCCACTGTAGAAATTTTTAGGTATTTTGAAGCAGGAGAAATGAAAAATGAGCAATGCCCTCGTCGAGACTCAAACCACGGACCTCCCGATATGCACCAAGTGTGCTGACCCCCCACACCACAAAGGCGTACTAAGAAGAAGAAATACATTATAAAATAATACCATACAAATTAAAATCTTTGATATTTTAAGAAAATTAAAATGCCTAAACAGGGTTCGTACACATTTCCTTACGTGAAAATTAAGGAAAAAAAAAAAAAAAAAAGAATAGAATAAAGCAATTATCCATACAACCGACTTCATGCTTGTAATTTCACTTTAAGAAACTAACAGAAGTGTGTATTATGCACTATTATTAAATTCAATTTAATACTTACCATAAAACAATTTTGAAAATTAAACTAACTCCCTACAAGTTATGAAGTAGATAACATTAAATTAGAAACATAATTTCTTGAAAAACATGTATAAGTGTATTTTACACTAATAACAGTCACTATTTTAGAGATTTACATGATTATTATTTAACTTATTTGATATTTATTTAAACACAGTCAACTACTATTATAATCACAATCTAAAAATATATTGCAGATTAAAATAACTGATTTGTAAACATACAATTTATTTCCTTGGTTTTTTGAAAGATACTAGAATAATAAACTGTACAATAAAAGATACAAAACATTTGTGCTTTTTTTAAAATCTGAAATCTTCCTTTTCTTTAACTATTCTTCTAAGTTCATTTGCTTTGATAAACAAATCAATGTTCCTGCTGGTCTCAGCTTCATCTGCTAAAGCATCTACTTCTTCATTAATGTCTTTAATGTCCCTTTGAAGAAAAAGTTTTTTCTTCTGCTTCATATAATCAATTTCTTCCTCAATAATATTTCTTTTCCTCTTTGAATTTTCAGATTTAGTTAAAGATTTTTGTTCTTCTAAATACTGAACTTCTAAATAACGAACTCCACTTCTTGCAGAAGCTGCTGCTGATCTAATTTCTTTATTAATTTCGATATTAAGAACACCTCCAGAAAATTTTATGTAATCAAAATACTGTGCGTTTGAAAAATGTATGATGAGTCACTTAAATTTTCAATTTCAATTGCTTTATTTACAGAGAAGCCCCTTTCCACAGAGGCCTGTTCATGTGACAAGATAAGAATACTTGTCACAGTGAATACTTGAATAGTGAAAATATACATTTTTTACTATATATATATATATATAATTTATTTCCTAAACAATATTGATTAATTGATTATATTATTTCCTAAGTTTAATTAAAGTAGAATTATTTTAAAAGAGTGAATCCATACTGGTAAGTTATATTTTGAAAGATGTATATATACAGTACAAAGTCCGAGATCCGGACATCCAATATCTGGAATGATCTAAAATCCGGACCTCAAAGCCACCACCAACCAACTTTTTAGGGCTTTTTTGGAGGGAAGAGGTATGCTTTACGCATGCGCATAGATTTTTTCCCTCATCATAAAAAAACATGCCGGAAATCCCGATTCTTAATCTCAGTTTGGCGCTAAATAAAATATCTCATTATTGAAGAAATAATTATTTTAGCATAAATTTGTGTGATTAGTAACTTGACTCCATAGCTGCGTATCTGCTTGGCATAATCTCAAACCGAAACATTTGTTAATTTTACACCAACTAATATTTTATATCCTTGATGCCGAAATCGCGAATCATTATTTATTGTATTTTGCTTTCATCACCGCATGTTTATCAACGGATGACAACTTGAGTGATGAATCATGCAGCGACGCCAAATAACAGAGTATTATCCAATTACAGATTTAAGTTTAATGCGCTAAAATGTTGACAAGGGGAGATTTAGCAGAAATTTCTTTCCTTATGCTAAAAATAGATTTTGTTAATGATACTCATAGGACAAACGATTATATTTAGTGCTATTTGAATTAAGAATAACTGATTTGTTATTCACATAAAGCCAGAACCAGCGCCAGAGCTCGCATGGCCGCACCAGGCGGCAGAATTTAGCGAAGTTAAACAGAAGTTTTTCATTGCGAATGACAATGCCCAATCATCAATCAAATAGCGGAGGGCGAAATCTGTAGTATGGTTCTAAATCCAGAAAATACAGCTACTGATAGTGAAGAAAGTAACAGAGAGGTTACTGAACGAGAAAAAATTTTGATTGACAAGTTATTCGGAATTCTCAACACAGCAATTACAGGACTTGAGCAATGGAACTTAATAACTGAACAAGAAATTATATGTCTATAGTATTAGTCTAACATTGAAAGAAATGTTTAATAAAGTAAACATATAAATATTAAGCTCTTTTCTTTTGTAAATTTTGATACCCTTTAAATCATAAATGCTTCACTATTTCATAAATCACAATTTCATATTTTCAATTTTATAATTTCTACGTGCCATCTTAGTAGATTTAAAATGATCTAATATCCGGAAAAATCTCAAATCTGGGATCGCCGAAGACCTGACGAGTCCAGACCTCGGACTTTGTACTACTATAAATATATATATATATATATATATATATAATACGAAATGTATATTTTCAGTTAAACTTCTACCCAATAACTTTAGTAATTCATGAAAGTTAATTTTGCATCTAGTTAATTCAGGAAAATTAGTTTCAATTAGTTGTTTTCAGCTTTAAAAATATTAAAAAATTTTTAATTAGTTATTTTCAACTAATAATTGTATTGCCATTAGCAAAAATTATGCATTACTATCAACAACATAGGTTTAAACCAAATACTTAATTGTCTATTGAAGCTTCAAAACGTATTTCCGAACTTCACTTTTTCTCGGCTAGCGTTACCGAATTTGCCCTTGGCGACCTAAAATCAAAATGGAGCCAACAGATTTCCCGCGAAATCGATAACAGACCCTCTGCAGAAATAAACTCATAATCCCGATATCCCATACATATAGTATGTGCAAAAGAGAATAAACTCCGTAGAAGGTGATAAAAAATTAATTTATGGCTTAATTGAAACAAACACAGAAATTAAGCTAAGCAAAACCGTGTAAAAACAAATTGAAATGATAAAACGAAACTTAATTTTCATGTGAATTTTCAGCACTGACTCTCCCATTCTAGAAATTTCAATTTGTTTCAGACAAAGACCACATTTAGCTTTAGGATTGCCATCCATCAATATCCAGTCTTTGTAGTCAGCTTGATGAAGCCACAGTTTATTGAAAATGCACTTTCCAGGCATCTCGTTCCTATTGGCGTCGGAAGGGTTGTGGCCTTCCAGGTTGGAATTGCTGCGATTTTAGGCAAATATTTTCAGAATCCTCCCCTTTTTTTTTCTCGAGCACCTTCATCACTTTCGCCTCTTAAAGAACTTCCGGCTTCACACTTTTGTCACAGTCTGCCTAAATTTATCGATAACACCTGTTTCGAAAGATTGCGTGAATAGCCAATCAGACACCGATACTTTCGTTTGGGTAGCTAATTGTTTTTTTCAATCTTTTGCTACGCAAATCCGCCAACAGATTGGTTAAGAGCCGTGTAATTTTAATTCCATATTCATGAGAAATTGTAATTCACACTTAGAATGGCAATCATTAGAAATTATGAGAAATGTCAAATGAGCAAAATTAAGGACCGTTTATTCATTTTGGCCAAAATCAAGGACTTTTAAGGACCAAAAATCATTTTTGAAAAAATTAAGGACTTTTAAGGACCGTACGAACCCTGCTAAAATAGTTTACTTTTAAAGAAGTAGACTCACACTATTACTTTCAAAACAAGCAAACATTACCAATTACAGTAGAATTGGGTTTATCCGGACTCAGTAGTACAAGTGTATGCATATAAAATTTTCCTCTGGGGAGGGAGGGGGAAGAGGCTCTTTCAAGAAAATGCTACTCTTTTAAGCATTACCTTATACTGGGAATTAAATAAAGAATGTCTAATATCTGGACATCCAATTATCTGAATGAAACCAACTATTTTTTTCCCTGCATGAAGCATAGAAATGGAGAGTTCCACTAATAGCTCAGTGGCTGAAGACTGCCAAATGCTGTAGTTCGACCCGGGTTTAAATCTAGGCAAAAAGTCTGCCTGCATAATGTTTTCGTGGCTTTCTCCATGTGTAACATGAATATAAAAGCCAGTTCCCTTTAAAGTATCCTCTATTAGGCAGGGAGCTTATGAGTGTTTGCCATACTGAAATAACCAATCAAGCATAGGAATGGAGAATTAAGGACTTTTATAATAAAAAAGCAGGTGTGACATAAACATAATAAA